GTCTGTCCTGCTATTTACCCATAACTGTGGGGGATGAAGAAAAGAATTCATACCTTTCCCAAAGGTATTAGCATGTAAGTGCATGTAATGGATTCAACTGGAATTCGAACACGGCTCTCCGATTCCTCAATCCGAGCCGCTATCCAACATGCTTCCTCACCCAAAACTAATAAAAAGCCTTTTGGTAATATTTTTTTTAACCAATACACTTAACTCTGGAACAAATTTCTTTTATTAAACTACTTTTGGAATTTCTTCTTTTTTTTTTTTGTATTTGTTTTATATTTAATGAACTAAATCTGTAAACTTATTTTATTGATGAAATGAGAGAGCGAACTACACTAAATTGAAAAAAAATTAGCTAAAGAATAATTTTAACTGTGATGTAACAAAATCAAAATATCTTCACATCACTTTTTTTTTTAACGTACCTCTCATAATTTTTTTTATTCCGATGTACAAAATGTGACCAATATTCAAATCAAAGTTAGTAAAATTTTTAGAAAGCATTTTTTTAACCATGATGATTAGAATGAGAGTGATAGAAATCAAAGAAAATATAGACTTTACTATATTAAAAACAAAATGTGTATTCATTCCAAGAAATTAAAAAATGAAGACAATTTCCCACTTTAATTAGTTTGAGTTTGGTCACAAAGAATCAAAACAATCTGGTTAAATTCGTTACACTATCAAATTTTACTCTTATTTAAGGACATCCCTTTTATTTTATTTTTTTATTTTTTATTTTTTTTTGTTTTTTGTTTTTTTGGTATAAATTCTCGATACCTAATGTTTAAAATTAAATTTTAAAAATGAAAAATCTTTCTTGAAGATTTCATTTTAGCTTTAATTGAAAGTTTAATAATTAAATTTATTATTTCCACTAAGTAAAATATTCTGAAGTATTTCAGATAGAAATTATATAGATTGGAATGTCAAATTTAATTTTGATTTCTTAAAATTTTCTTAAAAGTGGCCATTTTCTAAATTTTAAAAAATTTGTAAGCAAAACAAGTCTTTCTATTTTAAAATTCTTACATATTTCTGACACGTTATTTTAGTAAAATTAGAAAATTTAAAGTTAAATTAATCTGATTTGAAATAAATATTACAACATAAAAAATAATATTATATATAATATAAAATATAAGATATATATAATATAAATATATATATTATTAATATACAACCAATTATTAACGATTAGTCCAGTCCATCTGATCAACGTTTGATGGATTATATTGATAGACGAAGCGATGACAGCTACTATGGATTATACAATTGTTAAAAATCTAAGTAAACGTATATTCTTGGTTTTTAACTACCTAGTAATTTTTACAAATGAACATATTTTCCGCAATTATTTAATATTTTATTGACTTTTATTTACCTTTCGAAGATGCAAAAATAAAAAAAAATTTAAAACACTATAAAATTTTCTTCAATTCATTTTATAATTTAATAAATGAAATACCATGAATACTTAATTGAAGTATGTCCTACACTAATGTAAATTCATAAAATGAAAATATTTAGCGAAATAGTAATTGAAAAAAGTAAAACTTAGTTTAAACTTTTAAAGCTGGATAGAAATTTTGAAAACCTGTTGAAACGTAACTGAAGCGAATAAAGGGATAAAACTTTTAGATCATAATAATGGCAATTTCAGTCTACCGCACATGAAAATAATGAACGTATTAAGTAAAAAAATAAAAAATAAAAAATTATTTTAAAAATAGAATAGCACAACTAAGTCGATTAATCTTTTCAATTTTGGATTTGTAAATTTTATTTCCACTTAATTATTATATCACATCCAGGAAATAGCATAATATAGATTTTTACACGATTTTAAATTATCATAAATTATTATAATTAAAATTTTTTAAAAAATGAAAAAATTCTTGTAAAACTTCATTATTCATCAGAAAATTTTATTTCTTTAGACAATAATGTCTTTAATATTACTTATTTACAAAAGCAATTAAAAGCTTTCCTATTAATGTCATAGTTTTATTGGATTCATTATTTTTCAATTCAGAGCAGATTTTCAGTTAGCTCAAATTCGAAAAAAAAAAAAAGTAGGTGATTATCAATCATCAAAGACTCCTACTTTTAACAAAAAAAAATTTTCAGGAAATAGAAAGGTTTTGTGTGAAATTTCATGAATAAGTGGGGGGGGGGGGGGTAACAAAAAAAATTTTTACCAAAATTTTCTAAAAAAAACATTTAAAAAATAATTTCATTCATTTGTAAATAAGTCCTGAAAATTTCATTAAAATCGGACAATTTCTTGATTTTTACAAGAATTTCCAAATCAATGTGTTTTCAACGGAAAAAAGCGCAAAAAAAATACAAAAAAACAATGTTATTTTCATGTCACGGCGATGGCGTAAACAAAAGATTTCACCAAAATTCCGAACCTGTTAGAAAGGATTAAAAATTTTCAAAAAATAATTAAAAAATACTTTGGTCTTTCATCTTAATAACAACATAAACATTTTGACGATAAAACTTTATTTTCGTTAAGTTTGTGGCCTTTTTCATTACGCTATCTGTTTTCCCGCGAAAAACCGGAGGAGCCTTAACTTATGCATCATTTTTTAGATTTTGTGCTAAAACTTAACTTATTCTTAATTTTATCTACTTTCCTTACAGTGTCAAGTATTTTTCCGGTGAAATTCCTTCTTCCACCCCACCCCCAATAAGCCTGCAGCCCAGGGGTCGGCAACATTTTGGAGAGAGCGGGCCAGACAACTATGTAGGAGGAAGGCCAAAAATTATCTCAACTTCAGGTCACTCCTCCCAGAGGTTTGGAGGCTTAAAGGGAAAAAAAACAACGAACTTAATAATGTTATATTATTTAAATTAGTTTCCTTATTTTACTCGAGGAATAACAGGATAGCAACTAACTCAGTCGACAAAAATCCAAACTCTACGGTTAATTTGGCGGGCCAGACAAAAATAATTCGTGGGTCGGTTGTTGCTGACCCCTGCTGTAGCAATGTAATATAAACTACTCCTTAAAAATAAAAATAAAAATTGCTACGTCATGTCTATATTAGATTTCATGAGACAACCCTGGCTTTTAACTTTTTAAAGTTCCAGTTTGTCAAGGATGAAAATAATGTGCAATTTGAAGAAAATAAAAAAAATGATAATAATCTAGCTACCTCCACTTTTTCGCGGGAAAACAGCATAACATGATGAATAAAGGTCCCAAACTCAAAAAAAAAAAAAAAAAAAAAAGTTTTGTCATAAAAATGTTTATGTTGAGACTAAGAGGGAAGACCTGAGTAGGTTTTTTTTTATTTTTTTAAATTTTTTAATCTTTTCTGGCACGTTCGAAATTTTGGTTAAAAATCTTTTGCTGTTTGTCCGAACGAATGATAAGAAGGATTATTTTTTTTTTGTTTTTTTGTTTTTGTTTTTTTTGTTTTTGTTTTTTTTTTCGCTTTTCCAAGTGAAACACACATTAATTTGGAAATTCATGCAAAAATAAAATAATTGGATTTTATTTTTAATGAAACTTTCAGGATGTATTCAGAAATGAATAAAATTATTTTTGAAATGTTTTTTTTTTTTTTATAGAAAATTTTGGTAAAATATCATATATATATATATTACATATGTTACTTAATTTCATGAAATTTCGAGAAATTCAATTTTTTTTTTTAGGGCGGGTATTTTTTTTTTTTTATTAGTCAAAGCAGGACTCCTTGAAGAAAGTAAATAAATTATCATTTTTTTTTTTTAAAATACATGTATTTGCATGATTGAAAAATATAACCTGGTAATTTTTCTAGGAAAACTTAATTGTTTTTCTATGGGATTAATACTCACTATTTATGAAATGTTGAAGGGGTTGTGGACGTTCAATATATTTGTTCAAAGAATATGACTATAAAGACAGAAGAAATTAGTCGGAAGTGGGGACAGGCTTGTTATAGTTAAGAAAAGTTTTACAAATTATAGATGCCAACTTGTTGAAGGCTAAGTAAAATACAAATTTTGAACACTTCTCTGTACTAAGACAATATTCCTAAACAGAACTATTTTTGATATGAAAATCAAAACAATCCTCGAATAAAAGACTATTATGGTCAGTAAATTAATGAAATATACCTTTTTAAAATCAATATGCAAATTAGTTAAACCTGAAAACCGATATTAATTAGAAGCCGAATATATATATATATAGCACAGATATTTAGCCTTGTTTGTGTAAGTTACTGTGCCACGTGGTGTAATGGTTAGCAAGCTTGTCTCGTTAGATCAATTACGACTGAAAAGTGAGTTCGATCCTCACTGGGTGCCCCATACTTTCGGCCTTGTGCCACATCTGAGCTACGTTTGGAAAATTACTACTGTGCCACAGGTTACTGACCTGGAGCTGGTCGCAAACTCAACTTTTGGATAGAGGCAGAGAGGAACGCGGACAAGGATATGCCGAATATGAAAGACAGACAGACGAGTCTACAGGTTCGGATAGCCACACATTAAATTCGGCCTTGTTCCACATCATATCTCGTGGGGAGGTCGGTAAATATTACCGTGCCATTTTTCTGTATTCGTCAGAATAAATCTCGAATTATTATAAAGTAGAGTTGGAATTTTTTAACTCCCTTTGGGAGAGTTGAGCTCCAATTTCACATTTATTTATATACAAGTAACGTTTTAATAAAGTGAGTGTTGATAAAAGTTACATTTAATTTCAAAATAAATTCTGTTTAGTTTCTATAATGAATTATCTAATTTAACTTTTAAATTATTTTACAACACACGCCCATTTTTTAAACATGCCAAAATAAAACAAAATGTTAAAAAATCTACCTCCTATTACTCCAAGTAATAAAAATTGTTTTCAATAATGTATCACTGCGTTTAATTCTGATTCGATGTTTCAACCATGTTCTAACGTTTCTTTGTTGCAATGAAAAACACGGCGGTTAATGATAAAAGCAAAAATCATATTATTGAAAAAAAAAAATACTCACCAACGACTGAAAAAGTGTCGTCTCTTTGGAGGGTTTGCTGAGTGATCACACATCTTTGATAAAAATGAGTTAGTTTGTGTTCGTCTTTGTTTAAAAAAAGATTTCAGCTTTCTAATTCAGATGTAATGGAAAACTGCTACATAACTAATTTGAAACTTTTTATTTCTTTATCTACTTCTGTAATTTAGAACACAAATACAAAATGAGAGCCGTATTTTGATTGGTTCACGAGTGAAGAGAACAAATCCGCTTGGTGAAATATCTATATCTCCCACAACTTATATACACTACCGCGCATAAGTATGCACATTTTTGTAAACACTTACAATCAAAACGTTATTATATTTAACCTTCACCTAATACTTCTTATCTTATATACCATTCTTTCAGAACATGGGAAATCATAAATCATGGCTCTCCAGAACTTCCTGTCTTTTTTGTTGCTCAAACTTTTGTCTTTTAGCGTCCCGCTATCAATGTGGAATTTTGTACAAATCTGTGCAAAAAGAGGATCCAAAGCTTACCCAGCTTCATACAGATTTTCAGGAAATACCAGCTTCTAATTGGTCAATAAAACACACAAGTGGGCGTTGCAATCCGCCCACGTACAAATATTTTTCCAGCGCGTGACCAAGTCAAGTTTTCCCGCCATGTTCCTGGGAGCCTACCACGTAATTACATTAATTATAAATAGCAGGCACATTCTTCTTCTTCTTCTTCTTCTTCTTCTTCTTCTTCTTCTTCTGCGAATATGTGACCTTAAAGGATCTCGTCTCGACCATGTGCGGTCAGACGTTAAATATATATTCACGCATGCACGTACGTATGAAATTTTCCAGACTACATTACAAACATACAAAACATTTCCAAACAAGCAACAAGTACTTTTCCTTTGAAATACTCTTTTAAAGCTACAATTTTATTCGGCATTTCCCAGCTTTATAATTCATTCAATTTTTGTGAGCTCAGATAAAAATATTTCAATTTCATCAGTAAACTTTAATTCAGTCAAAGGGACATAACACCAACAAAATAGTAACCTCTACGGATGTACATCATTACACAAAAATAAATATAAATCATGTTGTTATAAAACCATTTTGTTCCTTCTTGTGTTTCATATTTTGTGGTATTTTGCGTTAAATTTAAATCGTGAGGTCATGTTAACAAACAGACATCTACAAATGGTCATATATATATCAACATGCCTGTACAACCGTAATCCCCATAAATTTGTGGAAACGAATGGGCAACCCCAAATTATGGAAAAGTTGGCTTAAATTAAAACAGTTCGATGGCTCTTTCATCAAAACGCTACATTGTTTTAAATGAACATTTGAGACCGACACACAAAATTATTTCCATCGCGGTAGTGAAATGCGAAAAAGGTTATGGGGTCGTGAGAATAGATGTCATGAAATTGGATACAAGCTAAATTAATTATCAGTATGAAAATGAAAAGTAATGACACGGGGATGTTAAAAGGATACAAAGCGAATATTCAGTTAAGGAAATAGTTAACCATCTTACTCGCAAATTGACCATTAACATGCTATCTTTAAAAGTAAAAAAATCTACAAATAGTCATATATATTAACATACCACTACACTCTCCCTTTTTGTACTTGTTCTACCAACCATTTTTTCATACTTTGCTTTCTGTTACCTCCTGCATATCTTCAGCATGTTCTGTGAATGTCGAATTCAAGCCTTCTCTATTATATGTCCCATAAATTTCAGTTGCATCCCTCTGATTCTTACCAACAGTTTTCTCTTTGTTTCTTACTTGTCGGAGTTAGCTCCTCCTTAATTCCCTAATTGTCACTAGGGTGTCACTCTCCCTATACGAAATGAAAAAGAGAACGAAGCGAGAAGTCGCTCAGTATTTATAAATACTGGGCGACTTCTCACCTCGTTCTCGTTTTCATTTCTTCATTTCAGCAACTACAATGTAAACTCTCTCGGAAGATTCGCGTCTTCCCATTTTTGGGAGACGCCATGAACATTATACACACATACACGCACGTACGAACATTCACCAAAGACCAAAGACAAATGTTCCCACATACGTAAATATTAATGTCTATGTCCATTGTAAAATTGTGTTGTTTAATATATATATATTTGTTTATATATATATATATATATATATATATATATATATATATATATATATATATATATATATATATCGATCTTGTTTTGTCTTCTTTACATCTTCAGTTGGACTTAACATGAGTCCGGCAATTTTCTTGTAGTTGGAACTTCTTCTACCAGGAATAAACAGCACATTTCCCTAATAAACAACACTCAAACCTCCACGGTCCTCTACACACTGACAACCAAATTATTGCATCATTTTACATTCAACTACTATCTATAGAATAATTATCCTCTTATAGCTATTTCAGAGGATAGGCATGTTTTTGGTTGACATTTTCATGTTCCTCAACTGTTTTCAAATATTTATTCACCAAATTCAGTGCCATGCGTGATATAAGCTTTCAATACATGACTGACGAGATAGATTTTTTCACATGGTTGGTTGCCATTTTTTTCCGCGGTAGACCAGTTGCCATCCAAGGCTATAGAACCTGGTCTGTCCTGCTATTTACCCATAGCTGGTGGTAGAAGAAGAGGAGATTCATACCTTTACGTAAATGAATGTAATGGATTCAACTGGAATTAAAATTCGGTTCTCCGATTAATCAATCTGAGTCGCTATCCTATCACAATAAAATGCAAAGAAGTGCAAATAAAATCTCAAAATGAATAATTAAACATATATTCATCCATGCATTGAATATTGCTGTCACATCTTGTCTGGTGTTTTAAATAGAAAATGTCTTGCTTTTTTAAATAGAAAATATTTTTCTTTTTTTTAATAGAAAATATCTTTCTTTTATAAATAGAAAATATCTTTCTTTTTTAAATAGAAAATATCTTTCTTTTTTTAATTTAAAATATCTTTCTTTTATAAATAGAGAATATCTTTCTTTTATAAATAGAAAATATCTTTCTTTTTAAATAGAAAATATCTTTCTTTTTTTAATTTAAAATATCTTTCTTTTATAAATAGAGAATATCTTTCTTTTATAAATAGAAAATATCTTTCTTTTTTTAAATAGAAAATATCTTTCTTTTTTTTAATTTAAAATATCTTTCTTTTATAAATAGAGAATATCTTTCTTTTATAAATAGAAAATATCTTTCTTTTTAAATAGAAAATATCTTTCTTTTTTTTTTAAATAGAAAATATCTTTCTTTTTTAAATAGAAAATATCTTTCTTTTATAAATAGAAAATATTTTTCTTTTATAAACAGAAAATATCTTTCTTTTATAAATAGAAAATATCTTTCTTTTATAAATAGAAAATATCTTTCTTTTTTAAATAGAAAATATCTTTCTTTTTTAAATAGAAAATATCTTTCTTTTTTAAATAGAAAATATCTTTCTTTTTTTAAATAGAAAATATCTTTCTTTTTTTTAATTTAAAATATCTTTCTTTTATAATTTGAAAATATCTTTCTTTAAAAAAAATGGAAAACAACAACATAATCTGCATTTTATACAAAATTTTGCTTGCGTGTCTTTCATTTATGTATGAACATAAATTGACTTAGACATGAAAACAAATTCTATGTAGTAGAATCAGTCTTTTGTTATAGATCTTCTAAACATTGGTAGCCACAACGTTACTTCGTTTAACTTTCACAAAATACTATAAAATCTTCCTTTCCATGTCATAGATTCAGTTTTTTGTTTTAGAACTTCTACTCAAAGACAACCACAATCTTACATCATTGAACCCTCACGTAACACTCTAAGACCTTTTTCTCCATATGGTACAATTATTCTTCTGTTGTAAAGCATCTACACACTGAGAACCACAATTTTATATCATTTAGCCTTCACATAAAACTATGAATTCTCCCCATGTTTCTGGCTGCAACCCTCTTTACACTCCTGTAACACTGCTTCACTATATCGTTTCCCACCGGGACATGAGCACAGCAAAATCTCAAATGCACACCCCACGCTTCCATGAAGACCTGGAACTACTTGCAGCCGTGTTATTGTCTGTGAGTAATTTGCATAGAAGACCTCTTTCATAAAAGACAGACTCCGATTGACACATTCCATTGATCAAATCCTGTTAAGCCAATGGTTGCAATACAGTGAATCTTAGACTACAGTCCATCAGGGTCAAGTAATGACCATTACCATAGTGGGTGATAGTCATACCCAGTTAGTGCCGATTACTGTCCAGTTCTAGCTTGCTTTTTTTTTCTTTTTTCTTTTTTTTTTTTTTTTTTTTTTTTTTTTTTTTTGCTGTGGTGAATACCCATGATTTGACTGAGGCTACACACATCTGATGCATGGGTTCAACTCTCTCCTTGGTCATTTTGAGCCACTTCTATCGTAGTCTCATCATCCTGTCTGCCAAGCTCTAACATAACCAACACCACGTTTACAGACATTTTTTTTAATCCAGGTGCAGATTTTCACCCGCTTCTTTCATCTCTACCTGAAATTTACCAGTCAACATACTAGAGAGACAGTGGTTCATCTTGACACATAACACTTTGACTCACCACTTGAGTACCAGATTGAGGTCCTTCAGTGCAGCATCCAACCTCATTTGATTGATATGCTGTTACATTATTCATTGGTCAAAGCCAACATTAATCTTTCAAAATGACTTCATTTCTTTCCGATACCACTCTTACTGTCGGGGAGTTTTATCGATCCATATGTTGATTTCATGCCCATACCCACACTAATCACCTCAGGCCGGGTCACTCATGCATGCTTCTAAGAGGGATGTCCTCGATTCTGTCATCCCATCCATTTGTGACAGTCTTCTGGCAGCTTGACACTATATACAGCAAGATGTCTGACAAATCACATCAAAGGTATTTGGGATCATATGCTTCCTTTTCCAGCTCCGATCACCTCGTTACTCTCAGGCGTCTAATCTTAGCATAGATGTGCCCTCATTTAACTGCTGTCGATCTTTGCACACAAGACCAAAGTGTTCCAGTTTCTTTC